AGCTGGAACAACTTGCGTTCATACAAAAAAATAAAACTTTCCAGCAAGCGGCTTGCGACCTACCTTCGGTCTGTGACACACAAGGCTCAGGACTGCTTTTTCAGTATTTGTAGACGCCTGTCATTGAGCTTGTTCTTTTTTAAAAAAATTACTTAGGTGAGGACAACTTTATAGAAGTAAAGTGACAAGAACAGCGCTTTATTTTTAATGCTAATACCAGTCTTTCGTCAGTTAATTTACACATAAAACTGACATGGCTCATTACAGGATTAGATGCGTCTTTATATCAGGTTGTTTGGGTGTTCGTTTCAAATGAGTAGAAATGAGATAATACTTTTTAAATTATTTTCATTCATAATCTTCATGTTTAATAAGCATAAATCGGTATCCTTCCCATTTTACTGAGCCAGGGAAGTGAAAGCCGAAGACATCTAACAAAAGCTTTTGCAAGATGAGTAGCAGAACTAGAGCTGGAATCGAGGTCTCATCGTTTCCCATCCAGAGAGAACTTGCTCCAGGACAGAACAGTGCCCCTGGAGTGTGTTCTGCCTACGATCAGGAAAAGTCCAGTGCATTCAACTTTTTCTAGGCGTTTTCCACTCTAGATTAAAGATTAAACACAATTTTTTTCCCAATATAGTTTTAAAGTACCTTCCCCCAACCTCTGTACAAACCAATTTTAGCTAGAGCTGATCAAGGGTTAATAGCATAATTCACTTATAACTACTTGTTATTCTGGTTAATGCACTAAACACTAAAAGCCACTGGCTTCACCTCAGGCCATTCAAACCTTTATAGTTAACTACTAAGGAGGAGAGATCCTTCTGAAGTGATGCTTTAATCCACACAGCAGCACACACAAATATGTGCATTTTGGTTTTCAACTTACTTCACGTACTGTGTTGGTCAGAAGAGTTTCAAAGCAGATTTAGCACAAGATGCATTTTATTACCTAGCAGTTGGGTAAACTTATTTCCAGAACTTTGTGAAGAACTTTTTCTTGTTCCGATTTATCAGAATTTTACTGAAGTGACAGTAAGAGGTAGCAGTTCCAATAGCTCTAGCAAGCAGTGGGAGATCTTTTGTTCATTTTACTTTGCAAGCATGCTAAGAAGTTAAATGTAATAAGCTAAGCTATGGCAAAAATACTTTACTGATACAGAAAACTTACTGTAGCCTGTGCATGCAGCTGGCTGGTATCTTACAAAGTTAGCTATGTCATGTCACAAACCTCTATGCAGTCAGATACAAAGTGTGCGTTAAGGTGAAAAATCAGGTGGACGTTTCAATCAGGAAATTCTGGTTCTTGTTCCCAGGCAGGAGCCCTCAACCACAGCACAAGAATGCCAACTCCAGGCACATCAGTGACCTAATCCAGCTCCATGCATGTCCCCTCACCACCCCCTGCAGGTAGCCTCAATGCTCGTCATGCATCGACTTGCATGTGTAGTCTGTGGCTTCCCGCCCTTCTGCCCCAAAGCCAGGAGTGCCTTAAACAACTTTTTAACACAGGTCTGGGCGATGCGGCAAGTCCCTGTTGCCACATAAAATATATCTCTAAGTAGGCAGAATTACCTGCAGGTTAACTAAAGGAATTAGTATTCTACAAACTGCTAGAAGTAAAATTAAACTTTATTTAAAAATTCTTCTAATATAGAAAACGAGAGGAAACAAAGGCAACAAACTAATGCCCACAGTTCCATCTCATTACATGAGTTACTGTATTTACAGCCTCAGAAAGGAGCACTGACAGAAGGTACACGTCCTGCTAATTATGGAGAACTACAAACAACAATACATTGTACAAACCTGACATAACATTTAAGGGTCATTGCAGGAAACAATTAAATACACTTGCTAAGACAGACAGCAGAAGAGCACAGACAGGTGTTAATTTATCCTGACTTCACCAAGTGTTCTGTACAGCCTAAACTACCGATTTGATTTCCTTCTCACTCAAGAGTTCTCAGCTGCGGCAAGAATTGCCATACATTACGATAACAGGTTCATTTAGCATGATTTGGAGATGTCGGCAATCTGTAAGATAAAATGTGACATTACTGAACCTTTTCTATTATAACTTTACTTTCTGAAGAATTTGGAAAAACTGAATAAAATCAAAGTGGTGAAACAACATGGAATAAATTGTGCTGAACTCGTGTGTCCATAGGCAGCATAACAACTTAAGGCCCTCATGTTTTGTCAGTGTTAATTTTTTGCTCATGGCTTCACAGTGAGTGCACGTATGGAATGACAGGGGATGAAGGTTTTGTTTTAATTCCCCTGCCCCAAAATTGAGCTAGATTTCCTGGGTATGTGGGCCTTCCTGATGTTCATACTGTAGGAAATGAAATACAACAGGCAAACACTGTTCTTCAGACTGTGTTCTCTATACATATATAAGTTTTTACACTATCTACAAAACAGTGATTAGATGCTTCTGTTTAAGTTCTTGCTACTCATTTAAAAATACTAGAGGAAAAAACTGTACAGTTTTCTAAATTACATCTTTAGAAGAATAATTTTTTTTTTAGAAGTTCATAAAAGACTTCATGTTTGTTTCTATAGAGAATTAAATGATAGGATAAGGAAGATTAGAAATATGTTGTTCAAATCAAGTTAGACAGACCAAGCACTTAACAGAACATTATTTGTAAACGGTAAACTTCTAGTTTTCTTTTCAACATTACATACGCATTCAAAAATTAGGAAGAACTTCAGTTATGAGGTCCTTGTTTTAGTCTCTGCTACATACAAAAGATACTGAAAAGCAAGAACTATTAAATAATTTAATATACAAGTGTAGTTAAAAAGCACTGTACATTGTAACAAATGTACATTGAATTTTAGAGATAGAAAATCACCAAGTTATTTTCAAATTTACATGATCTGTGAAATCTTGTAATGGCAAGAGGACATGGGAAACAACAGTAGAGTTCTGAACTCCACAGGGCTGTGGGATAGTTAATGCCTCAACTCAACAACTGCAACCAAGTGCCAAAGGAAAAAAAAAAATCCAGGTGAAGCTATCTTGTCACAGAAACTGGGAATCCCCAGGTTGTTCTTCCTGACTTTTCAAGTTCAGCCACCGTATTTAGTGAGTGGTTCCTATTAAGAACCTGAGAGCACTTAAATCAGAAGCAAGCAGGCAGCCTTTCCCTTAAGTACTTCCTTCCCTCCTGAGAACAGACTGGCAAGGGATTTGAACTACAAAGCAGCCTAGTTCGCGCAGAAGTATTGACAGTGAGAAGCCAGAAAATTGCCACTGCAAACCATTTCCCCGTAACACACAATCTTAGCTCTGCAAGTCCCTGAGCTGAAAGATAAGGTCAAGGAGATGCATCTACCTGAAGGAGCACTAGTAGACATCTTGCTTGCTGCAAAATGTTTTTCTTAAACTAAGCCCAAATCACAGCGCTCTAAATTTTTTTGTTTAAACTTCGCCTTATAGAAGCAGCACTTTTTGGCTAACATTTAAATGAATTTATTATAGTTACCGTGGACATAAATAGACTCAGATTAGACAAAGACAACAAAAGGGATGGATTATCAAAATCTGCTAGAGTGCCATTCTGAACTACATTGGTACTAACTTTTTCAGTTACTAGACATTCTCCAGCTGCTCTCACTTCAAACTTAAGAGCACCATCAAGAAAATGGCCATTGTACTTAGATGCTTACAAAGGAGCTGAATTCTTGCAACTGCTCAGTGACTTACTGAGGGTCTTCAAGGGAAGGGAAGGGCCAAAAAGAAACAGTTTCCCATACCAAAGGGAGGTTGGTGGATGTTTAAAAAGAAAAGGAAGAACTTAAAAATAGTCCATGGGGTACCAACGTTCGTTCCTAAGGTGGGATTTACCTAAATCATTCCTGATCAAAACCAAGCATACAACAGCTGTTTAGCCTATGAAATTGTTCCGTCTCTAATGGACAGATGCCTGCAGCACCAGCGGTCCAGCGGTCTTGGAGACCAGCAGTGGAACGAGCATGAAGCAACCCTCTCTTGGCTGCAGTTGGGGCCACGCAAGCAGTGTGCTGCCACCGAGGCTGCTGGTGTGGAGACAGGCTTCTGCCCCAGTGCTGTGAGCCCGGCAGCTTCCATGGGAAGGCCGTAGCATGCTGACCATCAGTTCTGCAATTCAAAGAAACAAGCCATCTAGGATAGAGCTGTATTTGGGACAGACTGCAAGAGCCAGGTGGCAGACAAGAAATACTCCATCTCAAAGAATGAGACTGGCAAGTGATATGGAACAATTTCCATCTGCACAAGTCTAACAGAAGCATGGATTCTCCCTATATTTGATATATCAAAATACTCTGCCAGCTAACAGACCTCACAGATTTCTTTCCTATTCTTGGAGTTCTTAAGGAACACACAGGACCTTAAACTGCATTGGTGTTTTGTTCTTGCAAACCCAATAATAAGACTCTCTTTACACTGATGCGGAGGCCACATTTTCCCTGTTGGGGATTTAACAAGGCCTAAAATTCACATGGCTTTTGCAAGAGTAAATTTCTGAGAACAAGAGCTAAATAAACATTGCATGTTCAGTAGAGGAAGCGTAAAATCCTATTTTGATACTTGGACAAGTACTTGTCCCTTTAATATCATTCAATGGTTCAGACTGAGGGGTTTGGATTATAAAAAGCAAGTGTCTATGTGACCTATTGCTAGACAAGGGACAAGATTTTTGAGAAAGAATAGCCATTAAAGATGGGCTTCACAGTATTCCTTTTAGAATAATTTCTGAAAGTTTGAGGGGTCAAATATTTCCTCTTAAATATTCTCCTCTTCTCTCTCAAAGAAAAGAAGCAATTACAGAAAGCCCTACTTTGTCTAGCAGATTCTTCTCCCCTCCCCCTTTTAAGTTGGGAGATAAATATGCAGAGCTACTAACAGAGAAAAACAGCTTTATTTGACCCCATGAACCTCCCAAGCTTTACATCACACTACAACGGACTGGCACAAATCCTTGCTATAAAGCTGCTGATGCTTCAAGGAATTAGCAATTCCCATACTGTTTTCTGTAGAATAAACTTGGGACATGTCTCTCCTGTTTTGAGACAGCTGCGGAGGCACAGGCAAATGCAGTGAGACTTCACAGCTGCAGAGTTCAAAAACAAATGAGATAAAACAAGAAAACTAACATAGAAAAGTTTGGAAACTTAAGATTTTGCCAAATGCAAGACTATGGTTTAATTTTTATCCTAAGCCTCTCACTCATATCATATCTGGGTTGTAACAACACAGTTTAACACTCACATTAATAATTTGTAAAAATCATTAAGGCACAGATGCTGCCTTGCCTTGGTGAGGCTGCAGTGAAGATGCAAAAAGCGGCTTCCCGCTTGCTTGGCCTATGTTAGAACTAGATAGGAGGACAAGAAATTTCCTCCTCAGGTACAAATCACCACAAAGTAGCAGGGATGGAGAGCGCTGTGGTTCTGCCTTACCCTATGGGGGACTGGGCATCAAAGCAGGGAGGTAGAGGGAAGACCCACATAGGGGTGAAGTGGTGGCACATACTATCAGATTCATGGGCCTGGGTTAATCCAGGACATGGAATCTGCTCCGCTCAGCCTGGAGGCAACCCAGAAGAACCCAACACATTCCCATGTCTGCAAATACCCCACCCATCAGAACTCAAATCTCACTGATCTCATTGTTTCCCTCATTGCAAGGCTACAAACAGCACTGGCAATGACTTACAGACAATGAGAAGGAAAGACTATTACCTCAGAAAACAAATTTTGAATTGTTGGGCACCCTGTAATCAATCATGATTTAATCCAATTGTTCCCAGGAGTGGAAGGGCACAGAAAAAATTAAAAAGGGCATGCATCGTACTTCAGGGAAGGTTTAAATATTAGAGTACAATTGGTATGCCAAAGTCCCCTCAATTTTCTGTGACAATTTCTAAAAAGCAGGTATCTAACCAATTTAAGGAACAAGTGTCCTTTGGACTAAACCTTAATTCTCAATAAGAGGAAAGCAGGTTAAAACCAGAAGGTATATATACACTAGCTGTATATTCACACACATTATGTAAAAGCAGCTTAAAATGCCCTTCTCACTTTGCAAGTCTATGAAATGTATGTTTTCCTTACGCAATCCGTTTCCTACAAGGCCCTCGCTAGAAGAGGAATATGCTGGCTTTTCTTTGAAGAAAAGATTTTGCATGAATTTTTCTTTTTTGGCTTTTTCTTTTTCCTTTTTTTTTTTTTTTTTTAAACACATTGTCCTGATAGTTATACTGTTTCACAGGAGACTGGCCAGGCTGGTGGTGGGTCCATTCTGTGCCTGGAACTGTACAGGAGGTGGTCCATCTGTCCACTGAAAGATAACAAACAACATGAAAATCCTACAGCCACTACCTGGGGAAGGGAGGAATCAGAGCAAGGCCAGAGGAAGGAGCTCACCACACATTTACTACATTGAGATAATTAAAGATTTCATCATGGGAAGTTGAGTATCAGGTCTGACTTTGTTTTACATGCCTGGAGTTCACATCCCTTGAACAGCATTTCACTCAAGCTGCAGCTACTCCACATGCCCATCATTTCAAACCTAGCTGACTACTCTGCCGAATCCAGGATAAATAATAACCAAATGAAAACATTTCCTGTTCTTACAGGTAAAAGTTTGACAGTCCAAACAAGGGAAACGATGACTTGCACAAATGATGCTATGAAAGACAGGGCCAAAATTTAGATGTGCTTTTTTGAACCTATTATGCACTATAGCTATAGCATTTCCACATAGTAAGTCTCTGGTCCTCAACCATTTTGGTACTGAAGTATTTTCCTTTCACATTGGTCAAAAGTCTTCTGAAATTGGCAGGTTTTATATCTGTTTCTTAAGCCTCTTCCCCCACCCTCATTTTTAACTTGGTGTGCATAAACCAGCAATGGAAAGTAAGAGAGCGGCTCAGGTCTCCGACCGATGCCTGCCTGTGGACTCATTTAGAGAGAGAGGTGCCTGGCTGTGGGCATCTCAACACGGGCCGCATCTCAAACGTTTTCATTCCCACAAGTCTCTCAAGATCCCTTTGCAAGCAATGCAATCTAACAGCTTCTTCCTTTTGGCCTTCCCTCTACCCTCCCACCAATCCCCTGCCTTTCTTTTCCCAAAAGGAAAATGTTTTGAAAAGGACTTTGAGTTCCTGACATCGCAAATTCATACATCATAACATCTGGATCTTATTTCAGTCTAAGAGAGTAAATTATCTTAAGCCCTTGCTCTGAGTTCCAGCTTTGGAGAGCATTCTGTACTTTTAGAATGTCGGAAGTGTTTCTGATAGGAACAACATCGACATCTGAGGTCCTAAGAAAATTGTACCATACGGCATTGGCTATATAGATATAAAATGGGATATTAACTGGAAATTCAGAGAGGTATACAACAAGATTTATATGTAAACAGAGAAAACTTAGAAATGTTAGAATATCAATTGAAGCTGTATTTTCAGCAGTGTGCAACACAGCATTCCCCAGAACAAGGTGGACTGGATGACCTAACCATGAAAATTAAACCCAAGTACCTAGAAAGTTTCTTACTTTCAAAAGTAATAGTTGTCACCTAAATGAACTGGCTACTTGCTACAAAAGCCATTAAAAAAACAAACTCTGGAGAACCAAGAAAAGAAAACATGTTTAAGAGACAAAGACCTTACTCACCAAATAACCTTTATAAGAGTTAACTAATTAATTGAGTCACACTTCCTTTTCCTGTTATCAGTCCAGTTTAAATACTAGGAAGTACACTGAATTTTGGCAACTTACTGAGAAGTGTGCTTGGCAGATGAAAGTATAGTAAAGGAAAGCAAAGCACGTTATTTTGCCTCAAAAATGCTGCATAACTGCAAGATGAAGACTGCTTACCGTGATTAGATTGTGTTCTGGAAGACTGCACGCTTCAATGTGATCTTGAAGGAGCTGCTGTGAGAAGTTTTGATGCATCTGTGCCGCTTCATGTGCATCCATAGCATTTCCACAGGCTTTGTTCAGATCTGAAAGACGAGAGCATCATCGTCTGCTCACAAAGAAACACTGTTTATATTTGTTTTTAACTGACCAGCTAGTTTATCTGAAGAGACAGTTCTGCTGTATATTTGGTGACTGAATCACTTAAAACAGCCAATCTGCCAAAGTCATCTTACTTTGGAAGAATCAAAACCCCCTTAAAAAAAACGAGGGGCATGTGGAGAACCTAGCCCAATACCATTGGCAGTGCATGCTGCAGGATCTGTTATTTCAGTTTCCAACTACTAAAAACAGTAGTTCTAAAAGGAGGAGGCCACCTCCTAACTCCAGTAAAAGCCCCTGTGCAGTTTGTTTGGTCTTTTTAGTTTGCAGCACCATCTAGTGGGAACGAGAAAGACTCGCGGGTTTCTCACTGCAGCTCTGCAGTTTGTCACAAGGATGGGTTTGCAGAGGTCAAGCAATACTTTTGTTGCAAGTCCTCACTTTTGTAGGGCTTCAAGAAACCTGGTGCTTTACATAAGGTGAATGCTGGTCCTCGTGTCATGTTTTCTGTGAGATTTACTCACATGTATTAGCTCAATTGGTGATAAGACTGGTAACTAATTAAGCATCACAATTTCAGCTAAAAGTTTTAAGCAGCACAGTGTGGTAGGGGCTGAAACACTGCACCTTCTATAGATGGATGTACGTTTGCACAGCAGATCCACAGCGCCTTGTCTCCTGCCAGTTCTGTGCTTTCCGCGCAAGAAACTTCAGAAAGAGGCTGCTAATTCCAAAGAACCATCACATGCACTTTCTTTTTGCATCATCCTAAGTTTGCCTCCCTTAAGAGCAAGGTCTAGCTTCTGCCTCAGATACCCACCATCTTATGCACAACCAATTCTGTTACTTCATATGAAGCATCTTGTCTTCCAGAGTAGATAGTTCTATACAAAAAGCTTGAATTCAGAGCAGAATGGAAACTGGCACCTCTCACTGCTTGTGAGGTGCTGGATACTACAGTAGGCAACAGCAGCTGAACACAAGATGGTATTTCATCTACAACAGATTTATCATCACCTACCACCAACACATTTGGTATGTGAACTACCATTTTGAAACGAATGAAAAAAGTATTTCAGTTGCCTGGAAGCAGTTTTGTTGCAAAGGCAGCAGCAAAGCAGGAGAACATAAGCCTGGCCCACAGTGCTCAATGAATAGCACAATGCTTATAGTAAACATGACAATTTAATATAAATTGAAGCTGCGGGGTAAGTTCTTGGAAAAAGGGTAGAGTTACAGCTTTATTTTCTAGTGAAAGCAAATCAATTGCAGCATTAATGTTGACTGTCTGCCAAGAAGCTAGTCAATATTTGAACAAAGCATCCAGGGGCCTATGTAAGTCAGATTAAACAATATTTATGTATGATGTGATATAATAGTTGTCTTGTTATTTATTAAAGCTCATACACAGAAGCAAAGCCTAAGTGAAACTTAATCAAATGTTTACTACAACAGGAACTGCAGTCAAAGCAAAGCACAGCAGTAGCAGAATAGACGCTGCACGGGTGTGAACTGGAAACCTTTCCAAACAGCGACCAATTGAGCCCTGTGTTTCACAACCTGCCTTCCAGCCATGGCAAGAGGAACCCGTCTGCCACCCCAGCATTAGCCACATGGGGATGCTAGAGCGCTACATGGTGCTCCCCACCCAAGGTGCTTTACAGTCTACTCGAACAAGTGACTAGAGTAGCTGACAGTGATGCTATAGCTGCAGCCAAAATGGGTTGTTGACAGGCTTGAAGATCCATAAACGCAAAGAACCATCTTGCACATCTATTGGTATTTTGTAAATCCATGGATTCTTTTGTTTTGTTTTCTGGTGAGTACTAGCATTGACAAACATCCCCACACCCAGTTCCCACCTATTATTAACAGGCTCTTTGCTGCTTGTTTTAAATACAACACCTTTTCCTAACTTACCTCTCAACAGAGCTGAAGACCACAGCTGCACAGACATATCTGGTATCTTGCTTGCAAGCTGCATGGCTGGTACTACCATATTATTACTTTCCTGGTGAAGAGCAGATATCAAGATAAGATGGATATTTTCTTTTTTCTGCTTGTGATTATATATTATATATAGGAGATGTGATATTTGTGACCTGAAGTTTGTCTACTTGAATCGGTATTGCTGACGTGTTCTAGCTAACAAGTGGAAGTGTTTAAAAGGACAATAACCCAAACATATAATCTAAAGATTTTGCTATGTCCTAGGAATTACGGTGTCTATGTTGTGCAAGATCATAGAAATATTTCATGCGTGCTGGCATAGGGTGAGAATTAAAAAGAGGTTGTATACACAATTCCTTCCAAAACAGTCCAGTTGAGTGATGTTATTTCTCCTTTATTCTGCTCCTTTTTTCAAGTGATTTCAGGCATTATAGAAATACACAGTTCTAGAATAGGCTTCAAATACTACCACTTTGTTAGTGTTACTAAATGTGGAAACTGTAACAAGAGAATTATGCAAGTCAATGAGTTACCAGCTTTCAATGGGATACCAATAAACAAGCATTCTTAAATAAAATTAACTTAAAACCTCTTCATTTTCTTTGGCAAATGAAAAATCAAACATTTACAGTAGTAATACCAGAGACAGTAAAGGCTTACCCTGTGATTCCCTAATACATAGAATATATGACCCAGGAGTACAAGAGAACATGCTGTTAATCGATTCAAGTCTTCTGCATTTGACATTTTCAGTGTCTCTCGCAAAAATCGTCTACCAAAATAGAACAAAAATAAAGTGTCCTTTAAAAGAAAATCTACTCTCCTTTCAACATGTAAGAATCATCATTAAGAACAGAAACAATCCAGTCAGCAAATACTAGGACTCAGGGATAAATGTGTCCTGTAGGTGACCTTAAACAAAACACTTCATTCCCATACCTCAGCTTTCTTGTAACTAAAATCACTATGATACAGATCCCTCCTTTGAAAAGCTTTTGTTTCAGATGTACCACTGGAGAACACTGCACAAGTATCATTATTAATGTTCAAAACTGTAAAGAGATTTAAAACAAACAGTTTTATGGTATTTGCTCTAAGTAAAACAGAAGACTGACTAAATCCATATGGAGAATATCTGGGAGGTTTGAAAACAAGGCCTCTGGGTTTCCGTTTTTATTTTAAAAAGCTTGATTTATTTTCTCCTTTTTTTCTCCCACCTTCCAAGTGCACTGATTTATACTCACTTTGCCTCATTGTATCTTCCTTGAAAGAAGGAGAACAGACCTCGGATGTAGAAAGCTGCTGCTCGAAGACAGTGAGAGCTACGGACGGACAAAGCAATGCATTTAAATTTATGCATTGTACAGTGATATAATGGATTACAGATAGCTTTCTAGGAATTTGCCTAACAATCCAATCCCCAAACAAAACATTTTATTTAATGCATGGTCAGAACTTCTGCCTTGAAAATAAGTTGATCATTTGTTTTGTTTTCTGTTCTTTTAAAAAAGCATGCTACAAATCCAGTGTTACCATCACCAAAGCAACATCAGCATGTAGAAAGCTTCTGGAACTCTCACCTCACAGGAAAATTATGGTCTGGATTTATCCTTTCCAATAAACTGTAAAGCTGTGAAGTGGAGGGAATAAAAAAAAAAATTAGTGTTTCTCACATATATAAGCAATCAGTATTTCTCACATATATAAGCTTACACTACTGACAGCAAGTGTTTTACAGGAAAGGCATATAAAATCCAAGTGGCGCAGCTTACTGTAAACACTAAGTTTACTTGTACTGGTTAGATCCCAGAGCAAACATTCCAACATTAGGAGTTAGTATCTTTAAGAAGTTACTATAAAATGTTAATATTTCTGCAGAAAGCTTTTTAATAGCCATGTTTAGCTGAACTGTTCAGGACCCAAATGTCATACCAGAAATCAACTAAGCAAAAAATGGTTAACTTTGTTATCAGCTTACAGCCTCTTCACAAGAGATCTGCAAGTACATCTCTGAAAAGTTACTATCGAGATATCAGACAAGTCATATAAAGAATGCATACAACTATATTTTTGTATTAACATTTGCATCAAATACACTACTGAAAAAAAAAAGAGCACACAATTGCATATATCTATTCCTGGATGAACATTTAGTTACGTCTTGCTAAATTTGAATGTAATCTAATAAAACTCTAAATAGATGGTAACTGAAGTGAACAGGTTAACTGAGTAAGTTAAGATGACAAACTTAACAACACACTGCTTTAAGAATTTGGTTTTCACTCCCATTGCCATAGAAAATTCTCTGTATAATCCAGAATACTCTACTCTGGTGTTTTGCAGCTAAGCCAAGTGATACTACTGGCATCTTCAGTGTTATTTGACGCTAACCTGATTAACGAGCTGGCTGGCCAGACAAGGCACCATTATTGCAAAACGCACAAAAAAAGAATAATCCAAGCACAGTAGCCTGCTTCTTTCTAAGACAGTTCTGATTTTTAAAACTACAGACAGAAACCAGAAAGCAGCTTACCTCTTGATGCCGGTTGCCTTCCCTGATGTATACACTGGCTAAGTTTGTCACAATAAATGCCCACAGTTCTTGGTGTGTAGTGAGCTAAAATAAACAATACACCAATAGCACAGTATAAATATTTTCGCATCTAACCCTGAATTAGTTCACCCTATCTTTTCCTCCTAATATGTAACAAATGGAAAAAATCACAGATTTGGTGCCTGATATGAGCTATTAATAGGTCCTCTGACCTGAACCATCTTCAGCATAGAGAAAACTGAAATGATGCAAGCCCTTTAATCCAATTCCTTTCACTTAACATCGAGGGCTACACAAACCCATACAGAAAGTGGCAACATTAGGGCAGTTGGAGAGTTTATAAGAGCCCTCTTTCTGAATCTGTATTTCCACTTCCCAAAGAAACTCTGTGGCAACCTATTGAGCTCAGTACATCACACAACAATCCTGACTTATCAGTGTGCGTAAATACCTGGTGGGAGGGTGTAAAGAAAATGGATCCTGACTCTTCTCAGCGGTGCCCAATGAAAGGACAAGAGGCAAGGAGCATAAATTGAAATACGGGAAATTCCATTTAAACAGAAGAGAAAGCTTTTTTACTTATGTTCATCCTTTACTTATGATTGCCCTTATGTAAGGGTGATCAAATGCTGGAACAGGTTAGCCATGCAGGTTGTGGAATCTCCATCCTTGGAAATATTCAAAACCCGACTGGACAGAGACCTGAGCAACCTGCTCTAGCTGCCCCTTTGAGTGGAGGTGTAGTGGGGGGGGCCTTTCCAACCTCAACCATTGTGTGATTCTATGACTCAAAAAACAATTTTAAGGTAGCTCACACAGCAACTGCAGCAAGTCCATTTCCACACTGAACAGCCAGAGTAATTAGTTTAGGAATCAAATCTTACCCTCAATGCTGTCGTAAACTGTGCTTCCGCATTGTCCATGCAATTAACAGAAATGCAGTAGAGCCCCTGTAGAAGACAGGATAATTCTGAAGTTAAATATTATAGTACAGCTATAGCAAGCCTAGAACACAAGGAAGAAAGGCATCCACATAGATAGATATCTTAGAACATTAGTAGGGGAAAAAAAATTTAACCGACGGGTCTTGTTTTTCCCAGAACCAAACAAAATAAAAGTTTTATACATTAGTATGCCATTTTGAAGCTGTTTGTAAAGGCTAGTTTCTCAAAAAAAAAAAAAAAAACCACACTCTTAACTTTTTATAACATCCCCTTACCCAGGTCCCATATTATACTGTCTCAAACATGCACTGTCTAAATCATGTGCATTTATCTTGCATATTAGTTATTACTATGCTAGAGTCTGCTTTTTTTAAAAGCAGATTTAAGTATTTAACAGTTAATGATAGGTGCTAGCCCCCACAGGATAAGCAGTCATTGAACTAGACCTCA